ACCTCTAACTAGGTTCTTTGCTGTTTGCCTTTCAAATGTTAGATTTATTATATTAAGTATGTATAAGAATAATATATTCTACCAAAATAACTTAAGCCATTTGATTTGATATTTTCTAAGATCTATTTTTTAATTTTATTTTCTCTACTACTTTTTTTCTTTCCTAAACTTTATATATTATGATCCATTTTTTAATCTTTTTTTAGATGTAGGGACTTTTTTTTACACTCTACTATCAAGTTTCTGTAACTTGCCCTAAGATTCCCCAAAAAAAAAAAAAGTCTGAAGTTCGCTAAGGCCTTTTCTTTTGTAAACTGCTAATAAAGCTTAATTATACTAGCAAGTAGTAGCTGCTTAAGAAACGCGTGTTATACGTACGTTACATGTGTATGTACAGATCCTTACTATCCTTAACCCCAATAATTGGAAATTAAAATATAGCCAAGAGCCGAATCTTTTTTTCTTGGGCAAAGAAAAGAATATTCTCCCTTTTATTTTATTTATAAGTCACTTCTATTATGTTTAATTGAAATCAAGAAAAATTTTAAACTTAATTAACTCTCTATTAAAATTTAATAAGTTTCTATCTCTATTCCCTAGTAAGCATAGAAAGAGCTATATTTTAATAATTTTTCATAACATCTAATAAAGACATAAAGATAAAAATGATCATAAAAATAGTGAAATGCTTTATAAATAGAATCAAAATTAGTCTTTTTCTTCTACCTTATAAGAAGAACAAAAGCAGTACCATTAACTCAAAAATAAAACAAGCGTTTAACAGCCCAAGGCTAACAATAAGCAAAAACAAAAAGGCCAAAAAAAAAAAACCAAAAGAAAAGCAACAAAATTACGATCCAGAATTCCTAGCTAAGAAGCAAGCAGTAGCCACGAGAGGAGCCAGATGGGAAGGGGGTTGTTCAACTCTTTCCTTCAGAAGGTACACAAGCAATCCAGTCTACAGCTGTATTAAAATAAGCCAAGAACCAAATCTGGTAAAAGATGTTTCGTCGATCTTGAACATTTGACTTTTGTTCTAAATTCTAAGTAATAATTTGTTGACTTCTAAAATTTCATGGTTGATCTTGTTTGAACCATTTTGTGCATTTGAGCTGCTCTCTATTTTATCATGGCAGCTCATCGCTTCATTATTTTATGTTGCCATTTTTATAGTATAGATAAGCATAATTGTACAGCACTCAACCAATTATAGAAGGTAATGAAATCTGTTTTCAAATCAGTTAAGTTACTCATTGTCTAATTCATCAGTTTACATATTGAAAGTTAAGAAAATATGTTTACATTGCGAAAGTTCAACAAAATTAGTTTAGCCATGAACTAATTTTGTTGAAGAGCAAACAGAAGCTTTCTCCATTATTAAGAATTCAATAAATTGTTTATATGTTGAAAGGACAATCACATATTCCTCATTACACCATCTCCAATATAGAGTTTATGATTAAATGAACGGCTTTATTGAAATATAATCATATCAAATGAACCTTTTTGTCAAAATAGTAATAACCAACAATAGAGACCTACAATTACAATTACAATACCTATATACGGAGATAGCATCTCATACTCAATAAGTGTACTCAAAGTAATTGTTATAGAATTCAAGCAAAAATTTCATCAACCAAAGCATAGATTGATCATATTTTGCCAGGATCATATGTTTATTTAAGGAAGAGTTAAATTAAAAAAAAGGCATAAATGTGCTTCGTTTTCATTGATTTATAAATCACAAATAATCAATTTTTTATAGATAAGAAATGAGGAAGAATCGAAACCCTAACCTTGTCATTGTGTGAGATAGAGTGCTATGGAGGTTTTCTCTCTCGCTCTGTGATTGGGAGGATCTCTAGGGCACAAGTCGATGGGTTCATTTTTGGAAATAAGAGAAATAAATTTTTTAAAATAATTACTGAGGATATTTAAGTCATTTTAAGATTACAGTTTAACACTTAAAAACCCATGAGACTTTTCTTCGCTTTTCAAAATTTCTTAGAACTTTATTTTTTTTTTAATGAAAAGGGATAATATACAACTAACTCAAAAGGAGTACAAAATGAGGTACAAATAAAATTATTCTTTCATCAACTGCCTCCATTAAGAAATGTTGGTTTTTAATTAAAGATGTACAAAACATTATTGAAAGATCTAGTGACAAGAACGAGCTAAAGAGTGGGAAGACAATTAACCTCTCTACACATAAAATTTAGATTAACAGTCAATTCAAAGGAGAAATTTAATCTTTTCCACAACTCCTTCAAAAAGGATGATTAGAAACTTGCTCCCGAGATAACAGGTTCAAAGCAGCATGAGTAGTTGAACATTAGTGAATCCATGATACCAACAACTTCATTTGTATTAAATGGGCCTTTTGGGCATAATCCGTCATTCTCCCTTAAAGATTTGACTTTTGTACTAATAAGTTTCTTGACTTCAGAAATCAAGACATATAGAAACCTAATTAGAAATAACTTGGCAACTTAATTATTTAGAACCAAGTTTAACTCTAGGCTGCTGGCAAAAAAAAAAAACTCTTGGCGACTTACATTATGTTCCTTTAATTTTATTCTAGTTTGTAGAACATTTTTTTGAAAAAAATTGTGCATATCAATTAAATTTATTAAATGCTGGTGAAAAAACAAAGTTGATCAAACATATTTTACAATTTTATATTTTTGAAGCAAACATATATCTTTTTTAAAAAATATTTTTCATTTAATATAATCTATTTTGTGAAATATTAAATAGAGATGAAAATATAATAAGGAGGGAAGAATAATATTAAAACAAGCATAATCAACTGAAACTTTATTTTCATCAGGATATCTTATATTTATCAAATTACTCTAAAAAATATCTTATAAATTAAGGCGGATAGAGTATTATATTTGTAAGTAAGCCGTGAATTATATTTTTAACATATGTTTTAGGTTTTATATTTATGAATTATTATATGAATTTAATGGTGTTTTTGGAGACGGTAACAGCATTCGAGTGTTATTTTTGTTACTAAAATTCTTAACATTATTCAATGATTTGTTAGCAATTTTTTATTACTCACAAATATTATTATTGCCTGTTGGTAATGATTCGTTAGAATTTTCTTAATGGAAAAAGAGTCATTAGTCAAAAAAAAAAAAAAAGATGATCTGAAAAAGGTAGAGTGGTGAGGCGGAAAGCATGGCTTCAGAGACAAAGAGACACAGATCTCGAATACAAGATGATGATTAGTGTTCTCTCTTTTCGGTCCATTTCATATCTTGTTATGCTTTTACTCTTTTTTAATTAATTCTCCCATTTTCTCTCTCTTCCTCGACCCAGGCGAAGACCGCTTCGTTTCACAACAACCATTATACAATTATTAGTTGGGAAAACTATTTTGTGGGCTCCTATAATTTTCTTCAATTTTTTATTTGGTATCTCTACTTATTTTTTATTTTCATTCCCTTCCTTCAACTTTCTTTAGCCCTTGTAGATTAGAAAATGGCTTGAGAGACGAACTTTAACTTTTACCTGGCACTCACAAACTCTCATAGACTCAATTTGCATATTAATATTTTGCAGTTCTAGATGAGGTTTTAATGTCCTAATGATCATTTGTTTTGAACATTTTTATAAAATATTAATGAAAAAATAAACACAAGAGAATGCTTTTATATGCTTTATTTCTTGCTTTTCAATGCTTGAAAAATCAATTAATTCATACATTCTCAAATGTCTCGTGTTGTGTGTGCGCATGCATCACATTGTCCCTTTCCTTTATACAGTACCACGTAGAATCAAAAACTAAGGGCGAGATGATGATTGAGATTACGAAAATTGAGTTATATTAAATTAAAATTTAACGATTTAAAAATTTCACCTCATTGAAAGGTGGTAGATGAAAAAGAAGTCTCGCTAAGGTTGTGTTTTTTTTTTTTTATAATTTCATTTAAAACAATTATAAAAATTGAGTCATAATCAGCGAATATTTTATCAAGAATATTAATTTTTCTTTTAAATGTTTATTCTTTATAAATATTAATTAAATATAACTTTCTCCAAGTCCCGCCGGGGCTCCCTCTGAAGTCGCTATCTTGTTTTACTTTTTCTGCAATCTTTTGTTTTTTTTGTTTTTTCGCCCCTTTGTGGGATCCCTCTGAAGTCACTATCATTTAAGGCACGATAATAATAGCTTTGAATTCTTCGACCAAAAAAAAACAAAATAATAATAATAATAACTTTGAATTTTTTTTTAAAAAAGAACAAATTATTTAATTTCTGTTCTTATTTTTTATTTTTAAAAATTATTTTGTAACATAATTTTTGATATTATTTGTTTAAAACAAAATAAAATGAAAAACGTTTTAGTTATATTAATTTAAAAATAATTTTAAAATTAAAAAATAGACTGATAATGATTATTACATGCGGTTAATGGTGATAGTTTATGATAGAAATTGATTGAGTTAACTATATTTTTCAATAATCAAATATAGTATATTTTAAAAATAAAAAAAATGAAAATAACTTTAAGCTGTTTCCATTTTTTATTTTTAAAAATAAAAAAAGAACAATTTTAAAAACAATTAAATCCAAAACAGTTATTTAAATAAGTTTGTTAATATTTTGTTGTTTTAAAAATCAGAACAAAGCAAACATGCCCTTAGTTTCTTATCATGTTGCTCCCTCTTTTCTTCACTCTCTTCCCATTCCTTCATTATATCAATATTGCAGCCTATTACTGCCCATATTTTACTAGCATTGCAAACATTTCTCTGCTAAATTATGAGAACTTATAAATGATAAGACTCCGCATATTTTTAGAAATGAAATGAGTCGTTGGTTCTTCTGAATTATAAAGATGGTGTTTAAACAACTGGGTCAACATACGTGAACTAAAACAAAAAACAAAAAGAATAAAGTAATTGAATAGAATAATCATTAACAAGCATATGTACTGTTGAGGGTTGTGAAGAGGGAAGGAAAAGATGTATATAAAATGATTCGATCACAGATGCATTAAGGAGACAGTGAGCGCAGAAAAATGAAGACAGGGGCAAGAGATTATTGCATCATGTTTGTGGGCTTATTATGCCTAATTACCCTAACCATAACTGAGTCTGCAACTGAAGGAGGAAGTGGTGGAAGAAGAATAAGAAGACGATCCCCTGTAGATGTATCAGTAGGAGTGATTCTGGACTTGAATTCATCACTTGGTCACATGGCTCTTAACTGCACCAACTTCGGACTCCAAGATTTCTATTCCACAAATGATCCTTATACCACCAAGCTCCGACTTCTTTTCAGGGATTCTAGAAACGACGTCCTCACCGCAGCTTCTGTAGGTAATTAACCCCAAGTCCACAACTATATAAGTTCGTGTGTGTGTGATGTTTAATTATATTGTTTATGTCCCAACAAATTAATAATGATATTATAAGATTTTCTTAAAAATGTTTGTCAAATTGTCAGAAGTTTGAGTTTTGTTCTTCTCCCACGTTTCTGTTTGTCGATGATGTGAATCAGAGAATCCCCCACCTCCCTTTTTATGAATTCCTAATAATCTCCCTGCCTACCCATGAGCTTAGCCTTTCTCATGATTTTTTTTTTTTTTTGGGTTTGCATCCAATCATTCCGTATCTAAAAATGTAGACTAATTTGTATTTAGGTTAAAACTCTGCCAAAGTTTAATATGTATATTTTTTTGGTAATGAAGTTTTAGATATTTATTTACGAGAATGATATTTAAGGACTTCTAAAAATATTAATTATAATTAAAAACTATGAAATTTTAAAAAACCATGATTCTTGATTGGGATTAAAAAAAAATTTAAGTGAAGTTTTTCAATATCCATCTTTTACAATTTTAGTACTCATCGTCTCATCTTAGTACACAATTTTTCAATAATCATTTTAAATATTTTCCATGCCAATCTTATATGTTTTCAGTACTTAAAAATACTTGTTTTATATATTTTTTTAGTATTGAACCTATGAAAGATGAGTATTACACATATCTAAGGTGACTAAAAAAAAAAATTAAGTAACGAAAATACTAGAGATGACTTTTTGTGTCTGAAAGAATACTAATAACTTTTAAAAATATGAAGGAAGAATATTGCAAATACTTCTTTGTTTAAAGATATAATATATTTTAATTGAATCTCACTCTCAACGAAACAGTTATTCATTTTCAAACTAACCCTATCTTTTTATATTTATCCCTATTTAATAAGGTGTTTTATCCTAACATAAACATAAAATAATTTATTCAATAGAAACACTTTAAAAAAAATAATGATTATATTTTAAAAAACTAAAAATATTTTATATTTTTTAACATTTAACCTTTTAAAAATGCTTTATATTTTTGAACCGAAGCAGTATAAAAGATAAGTATTAAAAATTTCAAGAAAAAATTTTAATCTCAACTAAAGATCAATCTTTTTCTAAAATTTTATAATTTTAGGATTTTCAATTGTAATTATTATTCTTAGAAGGTCATTAAATATCTTTTTTCCAATTTATTTATCAATTCCCTTCTTATTCAACTCAATGGTACGTCATGAGTAGCTTCTCAGTTTTGTATACATCATTTCTCCACATCGGTATGCCTTCTTTATAAATCAACTTTTACAAAGTATTTGCAAATTAAATTTAAATATCGTAATCTTGGCATTAAGCAGCTAGGGATCTAATAATTAAGGAAAAGGTGCAAGCAATCCTAGGACCTCAAAACTCAGAGCAAGCAAGGTTTGTTGTAGAACTTGGTTTCAAGTATCATGTTCCTGTGATCTGGTTTCCTCCATCTGGTCCATCTCTTTTGCCGCCTCGCTCCCGATTCTTCATTCACTCCTACCTCGTCAGAAGCCATTGCTTTCAGTTCAGAGCCATAGCAGCCATTATCGAAGCTTATAATTGGCAGTCTGTGATCCCCATTTATGAAGAGCCAGAATTCGGCTACGACCTCATTCCATGTCTCACTTATGCTATGGAAGAAATGGACACTCGAGTGCCTTACATAAGTGCCATAAATCAAAATTTCAACGAGACTCAAGTCGAAAACGAGCTTAAAAAGTTCAAAGACAAGCGAACATATGTGTTTCTTGTCCACATGACCGTGGAGCTATGGTCAAGACTCGTGAAAGTTGCATACAAAGCAGGGATGATGAGTAAAGGATATGCTTGGATACTTACCCAAGGGTTATCTTCTGTGATGGATCCCGAAGCTAAAGATATTAAAGTGAAAGGCTACATGGATGGTGCATTGGGTGTGGGGCCATCGGTAGTTTCCAACAAAAATGACATAATAAGTAAGCGCAGGTACGTAGCGAGAAGATTACTGAATTACAACAAAACTCTCTCTCTCTATGGCTTGTGGGCTTATGACACTGTCACAGCATTGGCCAACGCAGTGGAGAATTCCGGCTTAGTGAATTATAATGAAAGCAGAGTTGACCTTGTAGATGAAGATCTAGGAATGCGTAATGAAACAGGCCAAAAACTTCGCAGAGCAATTATGCATACTAATTTCCCAGGCCTATCGGGGAATTTCAGTTTATGGCAAGGACAGCTAAAACCATCAACAGTTGTAGTGTACAATGTGAAAGGACTAACCGATACTATCATTGGAAGTTGGAGCCCCAGAACAGGACTTGCTCGCTACAAACTAATGGATCCGATCAGATGGCCTGGTAACACAACAGACAGACCACCAAAGTTGAAAATCGGAGTCCCAAAGACACATTTTACTGAATTTGTTGATGTTAGTGGAGAATGGCCGAATATGTCTTTTGATGGCTTTGCTATTCATGTGTTCAAGAAAGTGGTTGATGTTTTGCCATTTCCTTTAAATTATGAGTTTGTGCCAGTCAACATCAACGCAGAGAGGACTCCATCAAGCTACGATGATCTTCTCTGCAGTATCACAGACAAGGCAAGTTTTCACTTATTCCTGTTGCTTTCAATTGTTATGACCTTTTCTGTTTCTCGTCTGTTTCTAAAGGAAAGCCAAGCATGATATTGGTGCAGTTTCATTGATGATTGATTACATTCCCCCTCCCCTTTGGACATATATACACTCAATAACATCCCAGGACATGTATGCTCAGGGACAAAACTAGAAAATATTGAAGGGGGGAGGCGACGTTAGAATTTTTTTCGTATATTACGAATGAAGCAAAAATTTTAGGTGGGGTAGCTGCATATAAGTAGGTCCCTCCTTGGATATGCTTATGAGTGTGAGATATTGTCTTGATCTTTACACTTGATAATTGATATCATTAGTGACAGAGCATGCAGGCCACAAACAAGCACACATTTGTATATTTATGTGGGGATTCATTCACTTAATGGGTGCATGAAAATATTGCAGAATGTTGATGTTGATGTTATAATTGGAGATGTTACAATTGTAGCGAATCGCACAAACTGTGTTGACTTCACATTGCCGTATCTAGATTCAAGCGTGTCCATGGTGGTAAAGGTGAGGTCCGACACCAAAAGTCGGTGGATCCTCTTCAAACCTTTTGATTGGTTACTTTGGTTAATTCTTGGTGTGATTTTTGTGGGCGCAACTGTGATTGTAATTATATTAGAAAAAAAAACCAAGGCTGATCCTGAAAGCCAATTCCAGAACTTTGTCCGCAATCCCTTCCTCATTTACATGAGCGGTTAGTTCTCTTCTGTTGCACACTTGATTGTATATATGCATATATCAAAACATCACTCCTTCGCTTTATATTTCCAAGTTCCAACTTGATTGTAGTATTTGTCTCAACTTGTTACTCATAGCCTATTTGACATGTATCAATTCCAGATATTGGTTCTCTGAAAAGTGGGACGTCTAAATGGGTGGTGATAGTGATCACGTTTCTGTTGGGGCTAGCGTTGCAAGTTTACACAGCAAATTTGACATCAATTTTAACAGAGCGGACAACGGCAAAACCTTCTCCATGGAGGGACGTGCAAGAGATTAAAAGGAACAATCTGTCAGTGGGATATCAAAAGGATTCCTGGGTGAAAGGCCTTCTCATTCACCAGCTAGGACTCAATGAAGAACAGTTAAAGCCTTATGCAAGCCCTGACGAGTACAATCATGCATTGTCAACCAAAAAAGATGGCGTGGATGTTATTTTTGATGAAATTCCTTATCTCACGCTCTTCCTTTCCAGTTGCCCTTCTTGCAAGATGACAGGACCAATCTACAAAAGTGGTGGATTTTCCTTTGTGAGTATTGTTACTATACTTCTCTCGCCAATCTCTCACCAATATACATTCTTCCATATGGCATGTAAATAACTTTAATGATGTACCATGTTGCGTTTTCAGGCATTCCCAAAGAATTCTACCTTGGTCTTAAATTTCTCAGCTGCAATATTGAATGTAACTCAAAATGTGACGACATTTCGTAACATGAAGAAGGAAATATTGTTACCCGTCACCATTGATAGATCTGAATACAAAAGTGATGTTGAGATGCGAAGTTTGAAGATAGATGACTTCGGAGGCCTTTTCCCGATAGCATTATTTGTTTTAGTTCTCTTCTTAAGCCTTTCAATTCTTAGAGTTCTTAAAGTTCCACCAATCACTCCCTGGCTGCATAAGAAATTGGTTCCATTTTCAAGTGCGTAGGAGTTATATTCATTAGTAGCTAGCTAATGCCTGTAAAATCAGTGTGTTATGTACAGGAAGCATACTGTGAATGGTCCAAGTGACAAGAATAAGGTGATGTGAATAAGTTTGAGACCTTTTGATTGTACTATATGTTATTTTGTAATAAATGATTCTTCAGGTTCTCTCATTTCTCATTTCTCTTTTCTCTTCACCTAGCTTCGTATTTTTCAGCACAATATCCACCATCTATATGGTTTGTTTAGTATGTATACATCTCTTGAAATTGTCTGCAATAACTTTGCATTAAACTATTACATAGAGGAAAGTAAAGAACACTATTTTACGGCCCTTTGACATTGAAACTTGGAATTTCTGGCGCAACAATTTCAGCTTTCACCCCACAAAAAACAACACTATAAATTAATGTTTTATTGCAGGGAATGTTATTTAGTCTTTAGTACATTGGAAAGATAAACTTTTTCGGGACAAAGAAAAGTAAGTTCATGTCTTGGCCCTCCACAAGTTTGCCTTGGAATAGCATCCTCAAATGAACATCGCAAACCTATACATACCCTCAACCTATACATTCCAAACCTCAGGCTGAAAGAACGAGCCTTTGGGGTTCCATGAAAGGGAGCAACAAATGCAGAATTCCTCACCCCTCTAGAGCCTTCAAACAGCCTCTAATCTAGAAGAACATACTGCAGCAAACCATCATCATTCATGGTCATGCTCAGCCACAACCTTTTATCACTGGTGATATTGTGGAGAGTGATATCACACTTAACACCTACTGCTAGTCTTGAAACAAAAGGAAGTGGGTGTTTAAAGTCATTATTGAGAATACTTAGCTCAGCTCGTACATGTCTGATTGTTCCACAACATACGAACTGGTTCAGGGAGAAGAATTTCAGACACTTGCAAAACTCCAATGCACCCTGGGAGGCTTCATTTATGGAGGTGCCAACTTCAGATGACAATTTCCTGAGTTCAACCACGAAGATGGATCGCATGACAGAGCTTTCTTTAAGGAGAGACTCAATATGTGAAAGTATTGCAGTCAACCTCTTCGATGAAAGAATGTGACAGCCTATGTCAAGTTTACACAGCCTGAGGACACAAGTCACTAACATTAGCTCCAAGACATTCAATTCCTCTTATGGAGAAAACCCTATGAATTGACTCCTAAATTCTTTAATCCTCCGATCAAGGTTTGCCAGTTTATAGTCTAATCCTCCCATTGCACGAGAACATGCCAGTTTCTCTTAGGGGAAATGTTCCTAAATCTTTGCAAGGCACTTTATTATTTGAAGATATTGCAAAGTAAATGCCAAAGCATCAGCAGATCCCGCAGAATCAAATCTCATAGTTGCCGGATCTTCCTTCCAACTCCTACATTGTCAGCACAATGCTTAAAAAGAAAACCAAGATAAAATTGCGCATGCATGTTTGTGTTCAAAGATCAAAACATATCATATGTCATGTAGCAATGGTACAGGACAAACATCTAGAATTTCTGGCCCTTGAACAGACTGTAGTCACCATGAACTAGCTACATTCTGAGTGTAAGATGAGCATGCGTGGACAAATACAGAGACATATTTGTGCGCTAATGAATAGAACTGTAACAGCAAATCTCCACAAAAATCTGCTATAACTTACAGCCAATATATACTTGTAGATATATGATGGAAGCTAAATTGAATTAGAGCCAAAAGGAGACAAATTTTAATGGAGCTTCATTACCTCAGGATCTTGAGCACTTGCGCTTGTAAAGCCAGATTGTTTCAGAGACCACATATCTAGGACCTTCCAAAGAATATGATTTATAAACTTCATGACTTCGTCATGCACTGGGCATTGTTCTACTTGAGAATTGAGTATATCTTTTGGCTCCCTCCCAAAATGGGACTGCATTTCAGACTCCACATCTCTCTTCTGTGATGTCTCAACAACACTTATCACATCATTGCTGCTGCAACAAGTATAATCACCTTGAACTAAGGGCAATTGTTGCTCCCCTCCACCATGGTTAATATTTGAGGCAAAAGAACCCATTGATCTGCTTATCAGATAGGCAGGCCAAAAGGGCATCCCTATTCATAACATCAATAAAAGCAGAATAAATCCTCCCTAGGAATGTAACGACATAAGAAAAGAAAACTGGAGGTATGGTGCCAACATTTACATGTAAGAGTGAGACAGAGACACACAGGATTAAAAATGCAGCCACTCTCACACTATCGAATTCTGAGTTGCCTTCAAAAGCTGCTTCTACCTGAAAGAATGGTGCAACAGAATATTAACTTAATCAAAATTATCTCAGCCAAAAATTAGATATCTGGGTGATAAAATGGGGGATAAAATTCATTCACCTTGATTAGTTGAATAAAATGTTGAGGAAACTACTGGCAAAATGCATCACTGTTCGTCCCTCTAAGAGGCTATATTCTTCCACTACCATAAAAATTAGATATTGACTTCATGAAAAACTAAACCATCCTCCTATCTGTTGCCACTAGAACATGGCAACGAATTTATCAAGTAACATCATGTCTATTATGGGGCTAAATTACAAAAGTAGGCAATAGCGTTAACTGGAATGTACTAAAATCACAACCCTGAAAAAGTATAGGAATTTAAGCCTATCATACACCCTCAGGATGCATAAGACTAGTACCGTAAGAGTAAATTGTAACCAGTAGGTATAGCTGCTTTCTAATACCCAAGTTTCTAAGGATGCCACTCCAACTACAGCGTGTCAACAAAGTTTAGCTTCATGTCAGCAGGAAACCTGAAAAATGTTCATGAAGATACTGGAAATTTATATCATCATCATAAAAGGAACAAGTCCACCTCTTCGAAAACTTCCTTGGAGAAAATGGCTACAAACTTCCCGTGATTTCGGCTAATATGGGAAATAGCTGAAAATACATCAAGCTTCATCTTGGCATGAAATATGTAGATGTTACAACAAAAAAGAATTAAAGTTCAATAAATTCCAAAAATTAATTGTCTCACACACACGCAAATATATATTCAACTCTGGCTTAAACTACTAGAAAATTAAGCAGCATGTAGCCCATATATCAAAGACAAGATGGATATAATGAGGTTTATGATCATAGGGTATTTAAGCGAACATTTAGGACATAGTATATACTAAATAACAATGATCTTGAAGCCATGAAGGCATTCAGAAAGAATGGATGCAGTGAAGATGAGACCATCCCCAATCAGGAAAATGGGAGGCTAAATGAAAAACTAAATTATCCCATCTAGATTTTATTGAGAACATGATAACTTGCGTAAGATGTTCAGATTGTGCATAGCATAGCAAGATATGTAGTCCATGTTAGGGTTTGCCCTGGCTTTTTAGACCTTTTTGGTTCAAGGGTTCTGGAAGACAATTTTTTGTGAGAATCACAATCGATTACATTGTTATTGTAAAATCTCACAACCACATCTTAAGAATGAAAAAGATAAAATTGCAGAATAATTAGAAGAATACCTGCGGGTAAATACTCAAACTATTTAAAAGACCATCGATAGTTGATTTAAACAAGAGACTACTCAGCTTCACTTGTTTAAATATTTCCCTTGCAGCATATCTCACTTCCCCACTGTTGTCAGCTAGAACACCAAGAAACTGGAAGAGCATAGAACGAAGCATGATCAGGACGTTAACTTGCTGAGCAGATAAAAGATAGTGCTAACAATGTGCCAGAAAAAAGAAATTTTCAATTAATATATAATTTAGGTTTATTGACAAGGAGTAAAGATCTTTGAAAATCTCATCACAGAAAGACACCGCTTATGAGTTTTGACCAGTAAAATTTCCACAATCAAATCATCCATATATTATCTTTCTCTTTGAAAAAACTTAGCCATAAAACTCAAACCTATGGGCCATCCAAGACATAAGATTTGATCAAAAAGTACACGTGCATGACTCTGGTAATTTCATGTCATTGCAAAGGTAATTCAGTTTCCCAATAGTTGATGATCAACAATATCACCAAGTAAACTAGTTATTTGGTTCGTTAAAGGAGAGACAAAAGAAAAAGGAAAAAACCTTTTTTAATTTAAAAAAAAAAATCAATTAGACTCCCAACAACCATAAATCATAGTCATATATTGGATATTCAGGCCAAGTATTTATCAAGGATGAAAAACGTAACATGCGCAAATGTTTTTCCTGAACCTTCAAAAAGCCACTAATTGCCATATAATACATAGTTTTTAAAGCTTGTAATCAAACAACCACCAAATCATCATCCAACACATCCATCAAAATGTTCAAAGCTTCATAAGCAAACTCAGTAGAGAGGACCACAAGTCTTTGCAAGGACCGGCATGCAGACTTTCGCACATTCAGGTTAAACAAAAATTCTTTCAGCTTCAGATCAAAAATGGGAAAAAACCATCAATTATTACCACTTAATTGCATCCAATTGCCAGATCAAGTCCTCAAAACAAGGAGCATTAAGATGACTAAGTTCTCCATTTAATTTAGACAAGAGACCTTTTTCCTAAAAGATACATCTTACATCTTATCATTATTGTAAAATGCATATGAAGCACTGATGTTCTAGAAAAGTTACCTCAAAGAACTCATCTTCAAGTCCATGCACTGGTGCACCAGCAACACTAGCTGCCAGCATTTTAGCCAAAGGCTTTTTCTTTCCAACCTCCAAGATCCGTTTTGATAAAGTTGGCAAAAGAAAATGGATACTATTTCAATATTCCCAAGCGCAATAAAAGCTTAAACCCTAGCCTCCATGCTCATATCTCTTGCCATAGAATAGAGCTGCATAAATATGAAGTGCCTGTAATACCAAGGTAATCAGCAGTCAACTGTCCAGAATACTTGGACACACACAAACTGAATAACACTTGCGAAAAGAACAGCGGCATGAGGGGAAAGTTGTCCGGTCATTGATGCATCACAAGGTTCATGGGTTCCTACGGAATATCATACATAAATTTGACTCCATCATATTAGTTCAATGACTTAGAAGTGTATAGATTCAATAATGTAAGGTATAAATCTAATTTCTGAATGCATCAGAAAGAAAATGACATTGTGCAATAATACAAAAACATATTATATCACGTGTCAAGAATCTATATATAATATAAAATCTATGTAAAGCATTATTTATAAATCATAAATGGTATAACTCACTTCAAATTCCATGCAAAAAGGGAGCCCAAAATCTAGTTTAATTGAATAACTTGTATTGTTCCTTGTCAAAAATGATGACAATGTCAATGACAACAAGCCTTATCTCACTATGTGGGGACAGCTATATAGATCACATTACACCAATGTGCTCTATCAACAATCCACTCTTTAGATATATCATTTATCAAAAGGGTTTCTAGTCAAAGACATCATAGTTTAACTTTATAGGCGTTGTCAAGAAGGGGGAAGAATCATGTATAGGAGAATCATCATAACATTGAAACTGTAGCTTTAATATCAAACAGTTGTGGAATTGAGATCCAAAAAACCATAGACAATGCATTGCCCATAGAATAAGAAAATACCTTGGCAAATACTTCATTGGAACGGTAGTTTTTCATGTCAGCATTAGAAGCTGCTAACATTAGCCCCCATGAAGCAACTTGAAATTACGAAATAGACCTCAAGTTATACTAAAATTTCCAGAAGTGCAAAATCTGTTAATGAGTCGCTGGAAGACCAAATATTATCCATTTAGGATAAATAAGCTTATTGAGGATACCATACCTTGGAGCTTCGAAATACTAGCTTTTAATTATTATTCACAAGCATTGCAAAGTCATATTCGCCGGGAAGCACACAAAGGAAAGGAAAACATTGAGTAATGGTATCTTGCAACACAAATCAAAGATGATCTCAAACAATCTTCCATGTCACCCAGAAGTTGAACAGCATGATGATAACATCCATCCACTAAACTAGAGTCTTCAAAGACGCCATGATTACTCAAATCAAGTCCATCCAGAGAAGCTTTTCTCACGTAAGGATAAGGATCCTTTGTGAACCCTAGCAACACAGCAAACAGTAAAGAAGGCTGAATTTGAAAGCGCCCTGCATTATTCAGCAACCACAGACATGCAAACACGGGCCAAAACAGAGAGAAACATAAAACCCATCATCAAGCTTATCCATATTCAAGCCCAGTGATGGAACACATGCTGTGATGGAAGCCAGTACTTGGAGCGAGTCAACGGCAAGGCGGGTCGATTGGGCAGAGAGAAGACAGTGAGAACAGACAGATTGAAAAACGAAATGAGAAAGGGAAGGGTGGTGGAAGGCGAGATGGGTGAGGAGGTTGAAAGAGTAATGAAGAAGATCTTTGTCACTAAATTCGAGTGAGCGAATCAGCTTTTAAATAATGGAGGATATGGTTGATGGTGGAGTTGAAGGGCTGACGATCAGGGACCTCATCGAAGCCAAGGTGGAGGGAGAAAGGGATTCTTCTTCATTTGGGAGAGTATTGTGGTATAGGTCCATTGATTGAAGCAGTACCTACACCTATAAGTTCCGAACAAAGTTGAAACTCAATGACGACACAGGGAAGATGAGAACTCGTCAAGCAAGCCCAGAGAAGACCGAATGAAATCAATGGAAGTGAAGCTTGCCGAAGATTAAATCTTGTAGTGGCAGAAGTTAACTCGCGGAGGCCGGAGAAGGAAGGAAGTAGACGCACGGAGGCACAGTGAAGAAGTGAAGGGTGGAGCTGGATTATTTCGCGCACCGTAGCGAGGCCGTTGCGGCGCGCGGGGTAGGAGGAAGGGGAAGGATATAAAATAAATAAATAAAACAGAATTGATTTTGGGGAAATCACATTTAAGGATATCTGAAGATCCTTAATCACCAAAAAGAATCAAAACAAATCCCTGACCTGACATTTGACAACAAAATTGAACCTAAAATTGCAATTTCTCATTCAATCTATTATTCAGGAGAACAGCAAAGGAGGCGAGGGAACAACCTTTTTTGGGAGAATGACAATTAAAAATTTTTTAAGAATATTAATATTAATTATGGATCGTAAAATTTTAAAATCTTAAGTAAAGATCATGATTTTTAATTGTGATAAAAAAATACAGTTTGTGAGGTGAGATTCACTAACATGACTTGAGAATTCACTAACCCAATTTGAGAAAATTACTAATATATATTATGAAAACATGAAATCCCACTTGCGAATGGAATATTTAACAAAAAGCACCACTTGGAAGTTTATTAACTAGACTTAAAAAAATTTCTAACGTATATTGTGA